ATATATATATATATATATATATATTCATGATGAATATTATAAAGAAAACTTAGATTCTTGATAAATACTATTTATATTCATGATGAGTGAAGTAAGATGTATATTGATGATGAATGTTATAGTAATGTATGAATACTGAAGATTTGATGCAGGGACGGACCCAAATTTTTTTTTAAACGGTGGCACCATTTGACCATAAGAAAAAAAATTAGGAATTTTTTTTTCAAACGGTGACACCGTTTGACTATAAGAAACAAATATACGATTTTTTTTTCAAATGGTGGCACCGTTTGACTAAGAAAATGACACTAACATGATTCGGACTTGGGTGTGGGGTAGAATAAAAGCTTTGCAAATCAACTCTACCAAATAAAACTTGTTCTCATTGTACTTTCAAAATACATACGGTGACACACAACAAATTAATATGGTTACACCGTTCCCGAAACCTAAAATTTTTACTCTTCGGCGGAGAAACGATACAGTGGCACGTGCCACCCATGGCACTTAACTAGGTCCGCCTATGATTTGATGAATACACATGAAAATACATAACTATTCATGATGAATGTTATTGTAAGTTATATATTCATGATGAATGTTATAGTAAGTTATATATTCATGATGAATATCATATTAATACATGAATATTAAAGAGTTGTTGTAAACATATGAACATACATAAATATTCATGATGAATATTATATAGATATACTATTTGACGTAATAAAACGTTTAAAACATATAAAAAAAACTATATCGAGATTGATGTCAAATCAAAGAGAATGAAATGCTCAATTTTTTGATATAATTTGTTTGATGAAAATATTAATTATTTTTAAGATAATTTAGTTTAAAAATTAAGGGGATAAAATTTTTTTAATTAAAAAAGAAAGTATAGATGTAAATTCTAACTTCCATTTTTGTCCTTAATTACTTTTAATTAACTTTTTTATGTTTTAATCATTAATTAGTTTTCTAAATTTTGATCTATGGCCAAAATTTGTCATCATGTTCATAATGAAAAATGAGTTTTCATTTGAACCCACCTATATACACACATTGTTACACACAGACACTGAGGCAAACTTACCCAAATTCAACAAGCTTCTCAGTTTGACTTCTCCACCATGGCGAGTTGGCGACCTCTACCGAAACAAATATATGTAAGTTTTCTATTTAATTCGTCCTTGTAGGGTGGGGAGTGAGAGAAGATCTAGAAGAAAATAAAAGAGTGCTATCGGAGAATGTCAGAGAGTGTGAAAGAATTCAATTGGAATACTTCTTGTAACCATCCCTCATAATGTTAAGCCCGAACCAAAAACATCTATGAAATTGTCGGAATTTACACCACCACAAAGCGTTAAACGCCTTAAAATCCACCTATGTTTACTGTTTTAATCAAATTTTCGAAATCTGTCGGCATGGAAATCAAAGGTGGGATCTTCGATGGTGCCATGGTGGAAATGAGAAGCTGTGACCTTTGAGGATGGTCAACGATGAGTCCATGATTCTATGACCTGTGAGGATGGTTGTTTTTTTTCTTTTGAACCAAGTAGATAAATCGTCGGTGATGTTGGTGTGGATGGTGTTCGTCATTATAGAAATCATGTAGCTCTGGAGTTCTTTTAAATACCCACATCAGAATGAGCTTCTTTCATGGATCAATGTCATGCTTCAACTCAATCTTTCTCATATCGAAGAGGTTCGTAAGCCTTCTCATAATTTAGGTTTTTCTATTTTCTTTAAGATTATTCGATGTTTTTGATTCATAAAATTGAAGAGATGATCACTAAAATGGACATTTGATCTACACAAAAAATTCTATTTGCAAGATCAATTAACATTAATACAAGGTGTTGTGAAGTGTCAAGATGATGGACATGACGTATCTAGGGGGCCGTTCCATATGCACAAGGTGGAATTAGCATTTATCTATCTTCTCTTCTGATGTTTTTGGACTAAGCCAGAGTTTTGATAATGCTATGGTTTCCGATTACAGGTCAACTTCGATGCTTGTTTGAGCATATGTTGCATTCAAACAAGAAAACACAAAATCTTTCTTCCCACTTTGCTTCTTAGAAACCTTATTAATGGTGAATATGTGTTGTAGTCAACCAAGAACACAAGCTTTATGCACTTGTTCAATAGAAAAAGACTAGATTACCCTTGACTTAACAGAGCTAAAGGTTAATAATGTTAAAGGCAGGGATGCAATCCATATCAAAAGGGAAACTAGGGTGACCATACATGTAATTATTTTGTTTGAGAGATTTAATTTATAATTTTGATATAACCACGGGGACTAAATTTGTAATTTACTCTTTTTTAATCTTTCTAACAGTAACATTGTATTGTAAGACCAACAGTAATAACCGTGTGTTGCACTCTCCGCATCTCCAGTCCGGCCACCACCAGAGCTCCGCTTACAAAAACTCTCTTCGGCGGTGAACGGAAGTCGAGCACCCCATATCGCCGGTCAAGGCGATGAACCCATCAGTGAATTCTCTCAACCATTCTCCTTGTCGCACAACCAATCCATCAATTAAACATTTCGCCACCGCCTCCCCTAAATGGTTCCACCACCATCCCCACATATCAACCCTCAAACCCCATATCCACCGCCCCACAACCTTCACGACCTTCTGTTCTCTACGCCGTCGTCGCCATTTTCGCCGTCGCCGCCACCCCGATAGTAACAGCTACTTCCCGACCACCGATGCCGACTTTTCCTCGCCTCACTCGGATTCTAAGCTTCACATGGTAATCGACCTCGAACAATACATACCCGACAGTACGTCTTTGAATAAGTTATTGAAAGTTGCCGAACTAAAGTTCAATCAATTCGTTGACTCTGGAAGCGACGCCGTGGAGGACCTTCGGACTATGATCACCATCGACGGTGATAGGAGAGTCGTAGTATCCTGCCGAAAAACAACGGTTTATTTCGTTGGCCAGTTGATTGCATTGAGTTGGGTTACTATTTTTGCTTTTAGGGTTTTGGTAAAAATAGGCTTAGGGTTTCGGAACTTGTTTATGCACCAGAGTAATGACAGTGGAGGGGTGGTTACGAGGAGGGATAGGAGTCTAGGTGGGCGAGAGGTGGTTGTCAGCACTCAAAAAGAATCAAAGAAAGAGCTCAATGTCTCTGTGAATCCATTGTCTTCTGGTGAAGAGTCTATTATGAGCTATTCAAATTCAATGATGAAGAACTGGGAGAAATCAAAGAAGAAGCTTCCTGATTGGTGGCCGGATTCTCGTCCTGCTCCATTGGAGGGAATCGACAAGGAGGAGAATCAGAAAAAGGCCAACTGGTTAATTGGAGGTTGGTTTTATGAAATGTTTTTTAACATAAGAAGTTTATGCTATAAGCCTCGTACATACCTATGCAACATGGTGCCGGCATTCGAGTTGTATGTCTCTTTCTAATGTCTTTGGAGTTGGAAGCATATTTATACACCATGGTTAATTGTCAATATGGTTTTATTACTTGTTGATTATGGTTCTCATGATATTATGCTTTCACTTAGCATGCTTCATGTACTCTTCTTGCTAATTGAAAACTTTTTTGAAAATCTAGAAGAAAGTTTGTAGCTTTAATGTTTATAGTTGTAAAGTAGGAAAAGTTGTTCACTTGCGTACCACTATGCACCGGTTAGGAACTTAGTTGAACTATAAAGAAAGGGAGGCGAAGGTTACTGACTACTTTCAACTAGTCAAGGAAAACTGTTTGCAGCTCTAAACCAACGATCATAATGTCTTTAATTTTTTAACCATCAGTATTCAGTAATGCCCATGAAATTATATATTCCTGTTACATTAACAGGAAGATTAGTAAAAAATAGTAGGTCAACAGCAACAATTCGAGAGTAACAATGCAGACATCTGCTAGATCATAATTCATAACCCACCTAAAAGTTGAATCATCACGATGCAAAGTTATCATGATTCTTTTGCATTATCAATGGTTGTTCTAAGAAAGCCACAGTTCCATAAATGGTTATGGAGTACATGTTACCCCCAGACTAATCATGTTTTACTCTAAATGCAAGGGTTTAGTTCATAGATATATCATAGCTATGGTCAGAGTCTTCTCAGAAACAGCTTCTTTGCCTCTTGATGCAGAGGAAAGTCCACATACATCTTACCCTCAGACTGTACTTCCAGGCGGGATATACTGAGTTTGTTTGGTTTATAGCATAGACAGTGATATAGGAAAATAAGATAAAATGATGATGATTTTAATGGCTGTTTCATTTGCATACTTCTATCACATGCTTCAATTCTCCAGATCACATTTTTCATCCAATTTAGGTGGAATCTCACATTACCTAATAATTGATGTTTGTTCGGCTTAATTAATTCGTATGCTATGAACTTGTTTCAGTCTATAGACTAGCTGAACTCCCTCGATATTTTACTTCTAATTTGTTGTTTGGTTGAAAATTGAATGGAAATGATGTTGTTGATATGGTTATTTTTGTGATTGATTGTTCATTCTGTGAGCTATCGAAATGAAAAGAACCATGAAAATTCAATGACCGCTTCGTCTACATTTGCCTAGTGATAAATCAGATACCTGAAGTTACTTTGATAATTTGTTGAACAAGTTAGGCCATGTCGGTGTTTGTGTCAAGAGGTCACATCATGTACTACCTTAAAAAGTATAAACTTGTCTGGTTTTTATGTTTCTCCTAATCCCTTAAATGAAGTTAAAAGAACATTAAAATAGCTATTTTCATGTCAAAGTCTTACCTAAACTCTTCCGACTGAATATGATAAAGCCTATAAAACAACGAGCTACTATCATTTCTTCATTATAGATTGAGATCTTCTTCAAACTTGACGCACAAATAGCTAGAATAGCAGCAAATAGCATCTTTCTAGCCTGCATATTCGTGGAAAGAGATGAGGCCTTTTGGCGAAGCCAAGTCAATTTCGGACCACCAAACCCTGCAACTGATGAAAAGGCCCTATGGTATGGAGTAAAGGGAAGCGTGTACGTTGTCACACTCCCTGCCTTCCAAAGGTGCCTAGAGGATGGGCCAGACGCAGCATAGTGACAACCCGGGAGCGGATTCCCCACCGGCCGGGGGGGGGAGGAGA